AGTATATACACTATTTTTAAAATAATTATATTTGTTTTTATTTTTTTTTTTTATTGTCGTATAAACTCGCGCACTACTAATAGCTATTAGTGCATGCGATAATTGGTTTATAATAAAAACTATTTTTTTTTTTTTAATTACCCCACTTAAAATAACATCAAACTACCCATCAAATTTACACACTTTTTTTTCACACTATAAATAATCTTAAATTTTGTATAAATATATACTCTTCACACTATTTTAAATCATATAATCACAATCTTTAATTATCACCCAACACAATCATCATCAACAACATTATCATCACAATCACCAAAAAAAAAAAAAAAAATTAATATTAAAAATAGATTGACACCAATTAAAAAAAAAAAAACCTTTGCTATATTACAAAATTTTTTTTTTAATTCTATTTTTAAATGTTAATTTTTTTTTGATTAAATTTTATAAAAAAATTAAAAGGAAAAAAATAAAAAAAAAAAATAAAAAATTAAAATTTGTAAAAAAATATATTATTTTTATAATAAATTAAATTTTTTATTTTTTAAATTTGTATATATTATTTTTTTTTTTCCCATTTTATTGTTTTTATAAATTTAATTTTATATATAGGAAAAAAATAATAATATATACCCAATAGTCCATATATGATAATATTAATGAATAAATATATACATATAATATATATGTTGTACAATAATAAAATAAAAATAATAATATAATTTTTATAAATAACTTTAATAAGAAAAAACAATATAAAAACCCCAAACCACACACACACACCTCATATATAAACTCACACTAACAAACCCAAAACAAATTTTATAATTGGACTTAATTTCACTCATTTACTTTTTTTTAAATTTTTTTTTCACACTATTTTTTTTGTATAACTTTAAAATTAAATTTTTAATTTTACTTTTTTTTTTTTAAATAATATTACTATTTTTTTTTTTTCCAATAGTATATTAACATAATTTATTTAATATAAAATAAAATATTTTTAAAAAAAACATATATAACAATACTTCAATATAGAATTCCAAAGAAAACTAAATAATAATAATTATTTATAATTAATATTATTAGCCCCAAAAAAAGATTATAATTTTATAATATATATATTAAAATTTAATCAAATAATATAATTTATTATTATAATATATGATTTAAAAATTATGTTATCAACACATCAAGGTCATTCTAGTTCATCAAATTCATCACCATCAAACCATATTGGTTCATCAGATATTTCGCACAACAATATGTCCTCATCACTACCCCTACCATTACCATCCATATTTACACAAAATCAAATGAATCCCCCACTTTTGTTTCCCCCAACATCATCACTTTTGGGTGGTTCATCAAGCCCCGCATTTTTATTACCATCGTCATCTATGATGAATTCAAATGTATTCCCACCACATGATACCCAATATCCAGATATGCCAAACATGGTAGATCAATTTCAAATTCACCAACAACATCCACACTATAACTACCAATACCAACTAATGTTTATGCAACAACAACAACAAGCTCAACAACAAGCCCAACATCAACACCAACAAGTTCCACACCATCACCAACAACAAACTCATCATCATCAACAACACCAACCATCACCACAACAAAACCAACAACAAGTTCAACAACATCATTCCCACCAACAATTATTACAACAACAACAACAACAACACCAACAACAACAACAACAAACCCAACAACAACAACATTTAAACCCCACACATCACCAAATAAATAATTTAACAGCTCAATCCAATACACCATCACCATCAACCAAAGGAAAAAGAAAGCACCATGAATCCTCATCGAATTCAGAGAAAAAGGATAGCTCCAATGGTACAATCCCAAAATGTACTCGTTGTAATGAAAGTGCATCATGGAAACACGACAAAAGAAGATGGTGGTGCAAGGAATGTAAAAAAGCATTTACTCCAGGTATCACCAAAATGCAACAAGTTCCACAACAAGTTCAACTACAACCATTACAAAATCACGCTCAAATGATTCCACAATTATGGGAGTCAAATAGTTCTCAAAACACACCACCAACCCAAGCAATAAGCAATGTCTTGCAAAACAGTAACAATAGTAATAGTAACAATAGTAACAATACACAAATAACATCCCCATCAATATCCGGCCAATGCCCACCTTGTCCACAATGCAGAGGAGTTAGCTCTTGGAAACATGACAAAAAACGTTATTTCTGCAAAGAATGTAAAAAACCATTTACCCCAACTGGTCAAGGTTTATCACCATCACCATCATCCCCAAAGAAGAAATCGATCTCATCTAAAGGTAATACACCAAAGAAACAATTATCACCACCACCATCAGTACTCCAATCACCAGTTTTACAATCACCACTACAATTAAATTTCCAAACACCAACCTATTCACCAAATCCATCACTCCCATCAATATCATCAAATATGAATGTTACAATGGGTTCACTTTCTATGAAGTCGGATGGTATAAATTTAATGGGTCTTTCACCACCAAAATCATCACACAATAGTGGTAGTAGTAATAATAACAATAATCTTTTAGGCTCCATTTCAAATAATGCATTATTGGGCAGCAGTGTAAATTTAGCAAATTTGGGAAATCCATTAAGTCAATTAAATAACCCAAATAAAAAACAAAAGAAAAGAAATGATAAAGACCCAAATAATTTAAATGAACCAGGAGTACAAGTTTTAGTAAGCGTTGATAACTCAGTTTCACATTCAATTATTTCTGATAATGTTTCCGATAATTGGTAAAGAACAAATAATATTTAATATTTAAATTATTATTTAAATTTTTAAAAAAAACAAAAAAAAGCAAAAAAAAAAAGATGTAATTATTTTAAATATATAAACCAATTATATCATCCTCCTTTGAACAAAAAAAACAGCAATGTATATATGTATATAATTTTAAAAACCAAATAAATAAAATCAAAATTTAAATTTTTTCAAAAAAAAAAAAAAAAACTTTGTCTGATAAACCTTTTAAATAAATTTCTATTGCTTGTATTTAATTAATAACTTTTTAATTTTATTAATGTTTTATTTCTTTTTTTACAATTTTTTTATATATTATATACAGATTATCTATATCTCGATTTTTATTTTGAGTATTGTTTTATATTTGTTTTTAAAATTATTTATTTTCTTGTTTTTTTAATTCCTCTGCCATCTTTAACTTTTCTTGTTCTTTTCTGTTCATTTCTGCAACTTGAGCATCCATTAACTGTTTAATTTTTTTATTTTGAACATTATGATTATAATTACATATTGGCCAATAACCACCTGAAACAATTAAAAATGAAATAATACCGTAATCTGGTGACTTTAATCTACCCTCTAAATAAAATATTAGTATAAAAAAGAATTTTTATAATTATAATAATAACACCTACTTAATGGGAAAAATGATGTCAACAATGTTACTGCCAATGCAGAACCAATGCCATAAAGTAAAGATGGTTTAAAACATGGTATCTTTGAAATATCTCTGTCGAAAAAACCTTTACCTGTTCTAGCCTCATTTACATCTTCATTTGGTAGTTGATACATATGAATATTACTATTATTTTCTAATGATTGTGGATTATTACTATTTTTATTATCACTCATTTTTTGGTGGTTTTTATCATTTACTTTTAATAACAAAAGATAAACATATATTAATGCCAAATGATCAAATAATAATTTTACGAATTTATATTTTTACAAAATTAAAAAAAAAAAAAAAATAAACAAAATTGAAAAAAAAAAAAAAAAAAAAAAAAAAAAAAAAAATAATTCATATTTTTTAATATTATTTTTTTTGATTAATTAGTTTTAAAATATTTGATTTCTAACAAATAAAATATTGATAAATATTAAAGAATTGTGATGAAAGATTTAATTCTTAAAGAAGAAAAAAATTAAAAAAAATATCACATTTTTTTGGTTTGGTGTATTAATAATTTTTTATTTATCAAAAAAATATATTTTTATAAATTATAAAAGATTCTGTTCTTTTGGATTATAAAAAAGAACTAAAAGATTTTTAAAAAATATATTCGATTTAGGGAATAACACTAGAAAAAAGACGTCATAGGAATAAATTCATCAACAATTGCATTAACACTCATATTAATTATATATGAGAATCCTCAAGTGATATTTCCAATTTATTTTTATTTTTATTTTTTTTTCCAATTTATTTTTTTTAAATTTTATTTTTTAAATTTAAATAATTTTTTTTTTTTTTTTTTAATTTTTTTTAAATTTTTCGTTTTATCACCACCAGGTCTATTTAAATATTTTTTTTTTTATTATTATTAAGCAGAATACACCAAAAAACAACACACTTGTTTTTTATACATATTAAAACTTAAAATAATTAAATAATAATTAAAGTTAATTTATAAATAATTATAATTATAAAAATTTAAAGTTTTCTCTCTTTTTTTTTTAATAAATAATATAAATTATATAGTTTAATAAAAAAAAATAAAAGATTAATAGTATTCATTATTCAAAAATTATCAAATAGGCGAAAAAGAAAAAAATAGATTTTTTTTTTTTTTTAATTATTTCAACATATATCCAATACATATAAATCACATATAACACATATATAATACAATGAGTACCGAAGAAGTCGATACCTCAAATCCATTAATAGGTGGTAACAGTAAAAAGACCAACGTTTTCGGACATTTGTTCCGTTATTTTGGTCTCTTATTTATTTGTTTAATGACATTAGGTAGTTACTATATTTATGATATTCCAGCAGCTTTACAATCACAAATTGAAAGTGTAAGTATAATCATCTAAAAAAAAAAAATAAAAATTTAGACGGATCGTTATTTAGGAATAATAATCACAATCATTAATATTTATAGTCATAATAATATACTAATAACTATGTATATAAAAAATTAAATAGTTGTATCATGTAGATCATATTCAATGGAATCTTTTATATTCAGTTTACAGTTTCCCAAATATGATTGTAGTATTTTTTGGAGGTTATTTTATTGATAATGTTTTTGGTCTCAAGAAGGGTGCAATTGTTTTCTGTTGTTTAGTCATGGCAGGTCAAATTATTTTTGCAGTTTCAGCCAACACCAAGCTCTTTTGGTTAGCTTTAGTTGGTAGAACTATTTTTGGTCTTGGTGGTGAATCACTTGGTGTTGCCCAATCAACTTTTTGTGCTAGTTGGTTCAAAGGAAGATCAGATATTAATTTAGCATTCGCTATCACTCTTGCTTTTTCAAGAATTGGTAGTGCTATTAATTTCCAAATTTCACCAATGATCTACAATAAAACAAATACATCAACTGCAGTTTGGTTTGGTGCCATTATTTGTGGTGTTTCATTCGCAGCATGTGTTATCCTCGTTATTCTTGATGTTATCAGAGGTAAAAAAGATAAAGAAGAACCAGTTGCAGCCACCGCCACCAGTTTCATGGATATCATTAGATCATTCAGAGATGTTCTTTATTTCCCAGGTACTTTATGGTTAGTCAATTTATCAGTAGTTTTATTCTACGTTCCATTATTTGTTTTCGTTTCAATCTCATCCGATTTCTTCTTGTCCAAATACAATATCACCGTTAGTGTTGCCACAACCTTATCATCAATTCCATACTATGCTGCCGTATCTTCACCACTCATTGGTTTATTAGTTGATATTGTTGGCCATAATGTTTACTTTATGGGTATTGCTTCAATCTTATTAGCTGTTGCCCACGGTCTTTTCACTTTTAGTGATGTCAATCCATGGGCTGGTTCTATTTTCTTAGGTGGCTCATATGCTTGTATGGCTGCTTCCATCTGGGCCACTATTCCATGTTTGGTTCCAAGCAAACGTTTAGGTTCTGCTTATGGTTTAGCTTTTGCTTGTCAAAATGCTGCTGTTGCCAGTTTTGGTCTTATCATCAATGCCGTCATTCAAAAGTACAACACCAATCCACTTGCTGATGGTTCAGATTCAAGCCAATATGATTCACCAGGTGCTTACCAAAAAGCTGGTTACATTTTCTTTGGTCTTTCATGTTTATGTGTTTTAATTCAAGCCACCCTCATTATTGTTGATAGAAAGAATAGATGGATTAACGTACCATCAGCTCAAATGAAACAAAGAGTTAAAGATATTAATCCAGAAGATGAAAAGAAACCATTATTAGTCAATGAGGATGATAATTAAAAAAAAAAAAAATAAGATATATAAAAATCAAATAATTTTTAAAAAAAAAAAAAAAACAAAAAAAAAAACGAACAACCAATCAATCATAACAAACAAATTAAATATTTATAAATGTTATTTAATTTATAAATATTAGTACTTATTATATAGGGTTTTATTTTAAGATTTAAAATATACAAATTTAAATTTAATATGTATAAATATTAAAAAAATAAAAAATTTAAAAGTTTTATTATATAATTCATTGTTCATTTTTATTTATTATTATTTTTTTGTTTTTTTAATTTCGCGCTTTTTTAAAAAATATCCAGAGCAATCGCACAATCTTTCTTTGACCCACTTTGAAAAATAGGAACAATTTTATTTTATTTATTTTTTATTTTTTTTTTTTTGTTAATGGAGATCATTTATATAATAGTTTTTTTTTTTTTATAACAAACCAAATCTTTATTTCATTTTCTCGCTCAATAAATAATATTTAATAATAATACTTAAGATTTTTTTATTTAACTATGGATAAAATTACAAAAAAAATATTAAAAATTTTTATACAAGAACAAAATTACTCACAAGATATACCTTATTCAATTTCATCAAAGTCATACAAGTTCTTTGATGATTTTGGAAATAATTTTATAGATATTATAATTAAACTTTCAGTTGCAATTAGTATAAAAAGAAATGAAGATATTTTAGGATCAAATGAAAAAATTAAAGTAAATGTAGACGATTTATTATTTTCATTACCAATTTTATTCACTACCGGGGCATTTCTTAATAATTTAGCATGTACTGTTTCAAATGAAAAAGCAGAAGAAAATAGTAATACTAATTTCCCAAAACCATTGGTTAAATCTAAAATCAAGGATCTTGGTATAAGTGACAAGTTTAAGTTTAAGAAGGGTTACATCAGTGCATTGGCATCATCATTAACTTTAGTTATTTATCAAATTATTTCTGATGCTTTTTACTCATGGGAAGTTGTATGTATAGTATAATTATTTATTTAAAAAATAAATAATAATAATAATAATACTAATTTTTTTTTAAATTAGTACATTGAACTTGAAAGAATTAACGAAAGTCTTAAAGATGAAATGTTGGATTTAAAGCATATTTTTAATAAAGATTTTATTAAAATTAAAGAAAATAAAAAGAAAGATTTCTTGGTAGATATTAATGCTCAAATATGTCAATTATTTTGTTTTAAAGATTTTAAACAAAATAGAATGATGATTTTAAATTATACATTAGATTATTATGATAGAAATGCTAATAATAGCAACAACAAAAACAATAATAATAATAATAATAATAATAATAATAATAATAATAATAATAAAGATAATAATAGTGATAGTGATAGTGGTATACTTAAATTAAAATCCATTAGTATTAATGATGAGGATGAAGAAGAAGAGGATGACCACGAAGAAGAGGAGGAAGAGGAAGAAGAGGAAGAAAAAGAAGAAGGAATACAATATACTGAAGACGAATTATTAGAGATGTCATATAAAGAGATTCAAAGTATTGCAAAACAGATAGGTGTTAGGGCAAATTGTAAAAAAGCTGATATTATAGATAATATATTGAAAATCCAAACCCCCCAACAAAACCAAGTAGAATCCAAATCACCAAAAAAGAAGAAACAAAGAAAAGAACCAATAGAAGAAAATAAACAAAAAAAAACAAACAAAAAATCAAATTCTAAATCAGTATTAAGATTTGAAAATTATAGAAACACATTTATTTCAAAAACTGTTCAAATTGAAAGTGATGAAACTGACGACTCTGAATATTCAGATGATTCTTCAGATGGCTCATACATTCATGCAGATTTTAGTGAAATCGAGAGTGACTTTAGTGACTTTTTTAAAAAGGGCCTACTAGACCAATTGCTTTATCATGATTTCAAACAATATAAAAAAGATTTAATCGATGCTGCAACAGATGAAAACGAAAAGATTAAATTAAAAAAGAAGTCTCCAAGGGTATTGTGGTTCGATCGTCCAATCAATAGAAATTACAATCATTTATTAACTGAAGCAGGAAAAGAAAAATACGAAAAAGAAAAAATTAAAAGTGATGACTACGAAAGTTCTGATTTCGAATCAGAGTCATCAGAAGAAGACCCAGATTCATTAACTTACAAAGAAAGACTAAAGAAATATGGTTCAGATTATGAAGAGTGGAGTGATTTCGCTGACTCATTCTATGAATCTATGATGGGGACCGATGCAGCCCATGATATCAGGGGTGGCCCAAGATGGTTATGGAAAAATCGTGAAGACTTTGGTTGGTCTGAAGAAGATTATGAAAATTTAAAATAATCGATAGTTTTATAAATATTCATATTAAGAAAAAAATAAAAAAAAATAAATTAATTTATATTTTTTTTTTTTTTGATCAAATATTTTTCCTTTTAAATATATATTAATTTTATTTTTTTTTTTTTTTTTTTTATTTTTTTTTTAATTTTTTTCATTTTTTCATTTTTTAAATTTTTATTAAATTTTTTTTTTTTAAAATTATTTATTTTTAAAACAGACCTTGACAACACCGAACCAATACGTATTGTTATTGTTTTCATTTTAATTGGTCTTTGTTATTTTTGTTACATTACAACTGCATTGTTTAAAAAAGGTTTATTTTATTATAGTTATAAAATCATTCCTTTTTATTTTTATTTTTTTTTAAATATACAAAAAAAAAACCAATACAATGTCAAATTATAAACGTCCAAATAATTCAGATACAAATGGGTCAGCTAAAAAGACTAGATTAGAAGATGATGATCCAATGTCGTCTATCTTGGGTGAAATTCATCAAAGTCAGCATGGGTAAATAATATATTATTTTTTGTTCTATATCCATCGATAAATTTTAAAACAACACAATCTAATTTTTTTTTTTTTTTTTTTAAAAATATAAAGTAACAAATCAACAGCAGTAAAATCAACATTCTCTTTGGAAAGTGTAATGAATAAAATTATAGAGTTATCTCAAACTGATGGGGGTATTGATAAGATCGAGGTAGAGGGTAGAATAGGTTTATTTTCAAGTTCGTTTAACTCTGGTAGTACATTTAAACCAGGTATGGTTCCAGAGGATTGGAAAGAGCTCAATTTATATTTAAGAAATAAATACGATCCAATTTGCACAAGAGAAACCGACTATATATATAACGATAATTTTAGAATAACTTTTGATGAAAACACAAAGAAATGTATTAGAAAAGATAGAAAGACCGATAAGACAAACTTTGACCAATCTAGCAATTTAATTTATGACTACAGAATATCGACATCAATTGAAGAGACTTTTCCACCACCACTCAGTTTACCATCCGATTATATTTCCAGAAGAGAAAAAGAAAGATTCACATACAGAGAGGATTTATGGAAAGTTGATCTTACGATTATTACCACCAGACAAAACATTCAGGCACAAATCGAATCACTTGCCTATGAAGTAGAGGTTGAATTATACCCAGATTCCATTAAATCATGTCAAGAAAAATCTTCATTAACAAGTTTATTGAATAAATTTATAGATGGTGTAAGTATTATCAATAATAATAAATAATAATAATAATAATTTTAATTATAATAAACCTAAATATATTTTTGGAGATTTAATTAATATTTATTAATACAAAAATTATCTTTAACTTAATTAGATTAAACATTATATTAATGTTATTGGTGGCAGTCAAGATACATCATTTTCAGATATTTCATTAGATAGAGTTGGTGAAGTAAAGGAAATTTATAGATTAAGAGATTTAGTATTTAAATATATGCCACAAATGCAAAGAAGAACCGAAACCTTCCCTGGTTCAATGCCAGTAAATTTTGGTAAAAAGAATTTTTACTATGTCCAATGTAATAAATATTATGTAAGTGAAAAAACCGATGGTATAAGATATATGTTATTAGTAGATTCAAGTGGTGTTTATTTAATCGATAGAAAGTTCGATTTTTATAAATTAAACGATTACGAGTAAGTATTAATGATTGATAAATTTAAATATAACAGTTGTTTTATTATAATACTAATCATAATAAATATTTTTTTTTTTTTAAATATTATTTAGTATTATTATTGATATATTCCGTAAGGGAACTTTATTAGATGGTGAAATGGTTAGAAATGTAAATTCAAAAACTCCAAATTACTTGGTATTTGATGTTTTATCAATTAATGATCAAATTTATTATGATAAGTTTTTAGAAGATAGATTAAAGGTTATTGGTAGTGAAGTTGTACTCCCAATTCGTAAAAAGGTTAATTCTAGCGACGTGCCATTTGAAATTATGGGCAAAAGTTTCCAACCAAAGAATAAAATTCAAGATGTTTTCAAACATATTAAAGATGATCACAATGGTACAAGAACATTTATTGATGGTAGAAGATGCCATCACACAGATGGTATCATTTTCACACCAAATACACCATACAGACCATATACAGATCCTACACTTTACAAATGGAAGTATTGCGACAAGTGGACTATTGATTTTAAAGTAAGAGATCGTGGACAAAAGGGTTGGTTCCTTAGTTGTGTTGCCAACGATAATATAGAGGTAGATTGTAGAGAAGTCAATTTTTCAGACGATGACCTTTCAAAACTTAGAAAAGAATTCCAAAGAGCTAGAGACCAATCTACTGTTGTTGCCGAATGTTCTTTTCAACCAAAAACTGGCACTTGGAAATTCCATCAAGTTAGACATGACAAGAAAAAGGGTAATTATATCTCCATTGTAATGGATACCATGGAGTCTATTGCTGAAAATTTATCCGGTGAAGAATTAAAATATCGTATCCCCTTATCACCACAAGATGATAATTGGGAAGAAGAAATGCAACGTTTAAGAAGCTCAATGTTAAACTCAATTAAACCATCAACTTCTTCTTCAACATCATCTTATAACCCATATTCTCATAGTTAAAATTTTAAAACACATTATAATAATATAATTTAATTCAAATTATAAAAAATATTAATAAATAATAAAATTTTATTTTTTTTATTTTTTTTTTTTAAGTCAATTTATAATTTATTTTTTTTTTGTTTTGGTTTTGGTTTTTTTAAAATTATTTTTATTTTTTTATTAAATTAAAAAAATTAAAAAAATTAAAAAAAATATAAATAATAGGTTTTTTTTACTTTATTTAATTATCTACACTTTTATATATTTTGATTTTTGATTATATTATTTTAAGGTTTTAGTATGATTAATTTAATTTATATTTTTTTTTATATTTTTTTTTTATTATTATTTGATCAAGTTATTAATTATTTTCTAGTTTGTAATTCTCGTTATCCACTAATTTTTAACTTATCCATTCTATTTGAATGCTGAAGAGGTTAGCAGGACTTTTATTATTTTAATTTTAATTAATTTTAGAAAATTTGTAGATGTTATTTTAAAAAACCACCAAAAATCATGCAAAAAAAGTATTTTCATATATTGCCTTAATAGCTCAGTTGGTACGAGCGTGAGACTGAAGTTCTTAAGGTCGCTGGTTCGATCCCGGCTTGAGGCAAATCTTTATAAAGATTTTATCTTCCGTGTGATTTTTTATTTTTTTAATTTTTTTTTTTAATTTTTTTTATTTTTTAAACCTGAATTGACCAACATCTAAAGCTTATTTACTGATTAATTTAAAGCATTTGCTTTTAATTATCTTCACTTTAAAAAAAAAAAAAAAAGCTACATAAACAAAAATTTTTAATAAATTAGTTTTATATTATTTAAAAACCATGTTATTGTATATGCTGTTACTTTGATTATAATATGTGAATGGTTATAATTAAAAAGTTAGTAAACAGATTTCTTACTCCTTAATATAACCTTTGGGACTTTTGGGTTCTTTTTCTGCTTTTGATAAGAGAATTTTAAGCTGCACTTCTTTATTGATTGGTTTTAGCCTTTATCTTAATGTTTATAGATCTACTACCAAATTTATAGTTTATGTAGTTCTTCCGTTACCACCCAATAACTCTTGCAGAACACGAGTTAACTTTGATTCTCTGTATATATGTGCAAAGTTACTGTGAGTCAATGAGTTGATTGCATTGCTCAATGATAACCATGATTTAATAATCATTTTAACTTTGTCTAGAATTAAAACTTGTACCCATGTTTTTGAAATCTTTTCTAAACCAGCTAAATTGACCAAATATAATTAACCTGTATTGACTGATCCTTCTTTTAAATTTTTTGGTGGAATAAAAATAAATGATGATGATAAATTTAATAAAAAAAAATTAAAAATTTATTTTTTTTGATTTTTTTATTTTCCAAAAATAATACTGCATCACCCCAAACATTATTTTTTTATAAACTAAATAAAAATTAAAATTAAAATAAAATAACAATATATATTATAAAATATATTTCATTAATATAAGCGAATTGTTTAATATAAATAATTAAAAATTATATACAATTATTAAATTACTACACTCAGATGTATCACTAATAACCATTGTTAATACTGTGGAAATATTGGATTTTATTCAATTATAAAGTATGTTATAAATCAGGTGTCAGTAAAAAACTAAAAAAAAATAAACAACAATCAAATTATGACAAAGATCTTTCAAATGAATACAAAGAAAAACTACCAATCAGTAAAGGGTCTAATTTAATAATAATAAAAAAATATTTTCAAATATTAAATAAAGCACACCAACATGGAAGCAATTTTTAAAGATAAAAAAAAGAATGGCAAATATTTTTTTTTTTTTAATAATGAAAAATAAACAATGAAACAATGAAAATAATAATTAAAAATTTAAAAAAAATAAAAAAAAAAAAAAAAAAAAATAAAAATAATAAGTTTTACTTTATTTAATTATCTAAATTATTATCTATTTTGATTTTTGATTTTATATTAAGGTTTTGTTATGATTTATGTGGAGTTTTGGGTTAATTTAAAAATAAACATGTCGGAATTTGCAATTTAATATACAGAAGGTTTGTGGGATGAGAGATACTAAATCTTTTAATCTATAGAACTACTGACTATTTACCAAATTTGTTTGGCCAGAACATATTCGGTTTTCATCAAATAGTTGATAAGATTGAAAAGTTTGATTGGTGGTCTACTTGATAGGTTGCTTAAAACGAAGAGGATACAAAAATTCTAAAAGTCCTTTATTTCAACAAAATTAAATGATCGTGGAAATATTATTAAAAAATAATGTAAGTGTGGCTAAATTGAAATATTAAATTGGTTGTTGTGGTTGGTCTGGTTGGTCCGGTTGTTGTGGTTGGTTTGGTTGTTGTGGTTGTTGTGGTTGCTGTGGTTGGTCCGGTTGGTCTGGTTGTTGTGATTGTTGGTCTAGTTTAACCCTATTAAATTGGTTGTTGGAGTTGTTGTGGTTGGTTTGGTTGGTGTGGTTGGTCCGGTTGGTCTGGTTGTTGTGGTTGTTTGGTCTAGTTTAACCCTATTATTAAGATCTAAAAAAGAGTTAGACACTACAATTATAATATTTATTAAAAATATCTTATACCTACTTCTTTTTTTTAAATTTTCATATACCTCTATTTTTTTTTTTAAGTTATCAATATCGGCTTCTAGTTTGGTATCATCTAATAATTTTTGAAAATCGACATTTAGTTTTTTTAATTTATTCTCATTGCTTTTTATTAAAGATTGGAATAAAAAATTATATAATTTAGCTAAGGTATAAATTCTAAAATTCTAAATGTTAATACCAATTTTAAATAAAAAATAAATATATTTAAAATGAACAACTTACATAATTGAAAATAATATAGAGTATACATAACACTTTGATTTTTCAAACAAAGTGTTGAATGATCTAGAATTGATATATGAAATTAGTAATAAAAAAATTTCAATAATTACGCCGTAGAGAATGATTTTCCAATATACATTATTTTTAAAATTTTTTGAGCATTTGATTTTGGTTTCCATTTCCGAAATTTTGGATTCCATTGCTACAAAATTTTCAAATTTGTTGTTCTGAATAAAAATAAAACTGTAGTTAATATTTATTTCTTTTTTTTAAAGTATATTAAATAAGAGATACTTACTTTTTTTAAAAATATGATACCCATTTTTTTTTAAATATGTTGTGAAATATAAATATTTTTTTTACAAAATATATATATATATATAATAATAGCAAGAAAAAAAGCTAGTTTGGCTGAACTCTATTGGACTGATACGAAATTTAGGAACTAAAAATAAGCTTTGGACACAAAAGACTTTGATTGATATAGCTTGAATTAATGAAAATTATTTTAAAAAAAACTTAAAAAGAAAAATTATTGTTAGAAAAAAAAAATTAATTATTGAATTTAAAAAAAATTATTATAATAATCTATAACTATTTCCTTAATTTGATTTAATAGATCAAATATAAATTATGTTTACCTTTTTTGTACAAAAAAAATGTAAATCTGTTATAATCACAATTGGTTGTCATCCTGTTTTATATATATCGTTGCAATGAGTCAAACTCATTTTCGTTTTTATTATAATAATAATATAATAAATGTATGAACATCAACATTGTGTGGGTTTTATTATTTATTTATTTTTATTTTAATTTTTTTTTAATTTTTTTAAAATTTTTTTAAAATTTTTTTTTTTATTGTGTGGTGGGTGTTTTTAAAGCTATTGACTGACAGCTAATTGTAAGTTTTATAAAAAAACACTATTATTTAAATTTAATTTTTTTTTAATTTTTTTTTATGTGGTGTGTAATTTTATTGCTATTAGATGATTATTACCAAATGTGATTAAAACAATTTTACATTTTTTGTACAAAAAAGGTAAACTTAATTTATATTTGATCTATTAAATCAAATTAAGGAAATAGTTATAGATTATTATAATAATATTTTTTTACGACTCTCTATTTTTTTTTTTCTAACAATAATTTTTCTCTATTTAAAGTTTTTTTTTAAAATATTTTCATTTAAATTTAAATTCAAGCTATATCAATCATATTCAAGCCATTTGTGTCCAATAACGCTTAAATTTAATCGCTTCCATTTTTTGTCCTTTCCAGTGCAGCCAATACCAGCTTGCTTTTTGCTATATTTTTTTTTTTTGTAAATATTTTTTTATTTATTTATATATATTTATTTCACCCCTCACTTTTAATTCTTGGGGTTCAACATATTTATAAAAAAATGGGTATCATATTTTCAAAAAAAGTAAGAATCTTTATATAATATACTTTAAAAAAAGAAATAAATATTAACTACAGTTTTATTTGTATTCAGAACAACAATATTGAAAATTTTTTAATAATGGAATCCAAAATTTCGGAAATGGAAACCAAAATTAAAACTTCAAAAAATTTTCATAATAATATTTTTTGGAAATTTATTTTCTATTGTTTCATAATAGAATTTATTTTATTTTTAATTTCATTTTCAAATTCTCTTTCATTCAACACCTTGTTTGAAAAATCAAAGTGTTATAAACATTCTTTTTTATTCCCAATTATGTAAGTTGTTCATTTTAAATATATTTTTTTTTATATATAGAATTGGTATTAACATTTATCATTTTAGATTTTTTACTTTAGCTACATTATATAGATTTTTATTCCAATCCTTAATAAAAATCTATAGGGAAAAATTAGAAAATTTATATTTCGGTTTTAATAAATTATTAGATGATGAAAAACTTAAAACCGATATTGAAAATTTAAAAAAACATTTAGAGATTTACGAAAATGTTTTAAAAAAAAGAAGTAGGTATTAGATAGTAAAATAAATATTTTAATTGTAGTGTCTAACTATTTTTTTAGATTTTAATAATAGGGTTCATCATGAACAACAACAACAACAACAACAACAACAACAACAACAACAACAACAACAACAACAACAACAACAACAACAACAACAACAACAAACAAATCTACCAGAGCTACCAGAGCAACCAAAAATACAACAACAACCACCAGAAAACAGCATCAGTAGCAACATTAACAATAAAACAGATAAACGTTATAATCTTTCTGATTCATTTTTATTAGAAAAAATTAAATATAGTTTAGAATCAGAAGATAATAATAATATCTTGGAGGCATTAAAAGTTATTGATAATAGCTTATCAAAGGGTAACTTTTTAAGAAGTTTAGCAACTCAACAAATTAACCTCCTTATTAAAAATGTTTTAAACTGTGCAGTTTATTATGAAAAGGCATCAGATGATGTAAAAACTATTAGTAGTCTAATAGTTTCCAAAGTATTTGCTGAAGCATATTTTGATCCAAATATTCCAAAAGAACATCTAGATATGGTTGGATCATATATCGAAGAGCTATACAACATTATCACCAAGTGTACAAAGACATACTATAGACTATATCAAATCGAGGGAGCTGTTTCAATATTTAAAGATTTCTCCATTGCCCTCCATGACAACAAAACAAATGATAAAATCCATGATGTAGAAATAATTGACATGGTATGGTGTTCCACATTGGATCTTTTTGAAGAATTAGAATGTCTCCACTTTCACGAAGCATACCAACAATTCCATAATGATACTTATAATATTATTTGCAATTATTATTATTTTGCCAGTGAAAGCATCCGCTCTGAACACTTCAAGAGATTCATGGAAATTAAAAATTCCTGGGGTTATATGTAACCACTTCAAATTTATTCTAGTTATAGGTTGGTACATATTTATAGTTTCTCAGTTTTTCAATTTAATGTAACCAAGGTATTATCATTATTCATATTTTTTATTTAATATTAGACTCTTTATTAATATTATTTATTTATTAAATTTAGATTATAACTTTCACCATTTATACATTTAAATAATTTTAGTCTATAAGTTTTTCCGTATCGTTTTGATGTTAGCAATAATAACCCGTTCATGTTTCAGCAGGATATCCACAGTTACACTATTTTATAATAATTTTCTCCAGTATCTTTAAATTTTGTTGTTGTTATTTTCCAAAATAATTATTATTTAAAATCAATTTGTTGTATACCCCTTATTATTCATTTCCCAACCCATTTTATACCACTATTTAATAATTTTATTTTATATTACACCCTGTATAAATATTTTTAAATCAAAAAACATGGCAGATTCAAACAATAATTAGAAAGTAAGTAAATTATCATATAGTTATAAAACAACAATAACAAACAACAAATAGAATTTGGTGCCTTGAAGCAATATGGAAAAGATTAACTAACCAATTTAATTTTTCAGGATAGTTTGACCATATTAAATACTAGTAAGATCTGTCCATACCTATTTATTTATAAAGAAGTTAATATTCAGCCAATTCAAGTGTCTCCCCAAACCATAGTAAATTTAAAGAAGGCTCTAAGATTAACTTCTCTTCAAAGATACCATGATTCATTTGCCCTCACGCTTCCCTAGCTCAATCGATCTGAGGCCCCATATAGAAAATGGTACATTCCCAAATGACATTGCTTTTGTTCCAACTCATATATCTCTTTGTCCAATCAAGTAGACACCAAACTTTTCGATCTGATCAACTTTTGATGAATGCCAAATTGTTCTGGCCAAACAAATATGGTAAATAGTCAAATAGTTCTTATAGATGAAAAGATTTAGTATTTCTCGTCCCATAAACCTCCTGTATATTAAATTCCAAACTGTATATTAAATTCCAAACTGTATATTAAATTTCATATTCCGGAATGTTTTTTTTAATTTAGAAATTTAAAAAAAATATTAATCCCACACCTCCACATAAACTAATCATACTAAAACCTAAAAATAATAAAATCAAAAATCAAAATAGATAAAAGTGTGGATAATTAAATAAAGTAAAAAAAACTATATTTTTAATTTTTAATTTTTTTTATTTTTTTAAATTTTTTTTTTTTTTAAAAAAATTTTTTATTTTTTTTTATTTTTTTTAATTATTTTTTTCATTGTTCCATCGTTTATTTTTCATAATTAAAAAATAAAAGAAAACTATGCTTTCTAAAATAATTAGAAATCGTAATCTTTATAGATTACCATTTCAAAATTCAGTTTCTTTTAGAAGATTGTCATCAAACACATTTCCTTTACCAACCATTAACCACCACAATAAATATTTTACTTCAACCAATAATAAAGTAGATACCAATAATAATAGTTTTAGTAACAATAGCAATAGTAACATTAGCTTTAATAATGGTAATGGTGGTAGCAATATTATAGAAGATAAAAACAGCAATGACTTTGACAATGAAAATGACCACGACTTGTATGATCACGAACCTCAAACCGAAAACGAAACTGAAAATGGACTTGAAAACGACCATGATGCCGAAAATGATTTGGACGGTATGAGTTTTAAAATTCCAAAAAGGTAAATCAAATAGCTTTATCAATCAAATCATTTAATATCACAATAACATATATACTAATTTTTGTGCGATATCCAGATTAAAATTTTTATTAGAAAAATCAAAATTTAACGAACATCAATCTAGCGATATTTTATTATCATTTTTCGAAGAAAATCATCAGACTGGCATACCATATTTAATATATTCAGAGGAAACAGTTCAAGTTTTAGTAAAATCATATTTAGAATTGGATAGAGTAGAATCAGCAATTTTTTACCTTCAAAAGCAGAATTCTTTCAAAAGCTCCCGTTCATTTGAAGCAATTTCAGAATATTTTATTAAAAATAATCAAAAAGAACAATTAATTCAATTTATGAAAGATAATATTGAAAAACATCAATTTTCATTAGATTACTCATCATACATCAGAATATTCAGATTCATTCCAAAGGTCAATAACCTCAATAAGCTATTTAAAGAATTGGTAGAAATATTCTTATCAAAAGAATGTTTAATATCAGATTTAATAACTGCCTATATATTCATCCTTAAAAATAAACCAATTTTTTACCCTCAAATCAATACAACTTTTAGTCAATACAATAAATATATTTCAGATACACATAAAGACCTAATAATGTCAAGTTTAATATTAATAGCTGTTAAAAATAAAAATATCCCACAAATAAAAAATTTAGTAAATAATTGTAATCAAATAGATCTAACTACTTTTCAAACTTTAGCAGAATATTTAATTGATGATAATAATATAGATAATAATAATAACAAAGCAATATCAGAAGAAATTTTAAATAATATCAAATCAAAAATAAATCCATTCAAAACATCACTTTTAATATATTATAACGAATCCATTAAAAAAAATGATTTAATTTTAAATTATTTATTGGATGAAAATATCAAAAACAACAAAAAGGTTATCAAATTAACTATTCAACTTTATTTATTAGAAGACAATACTCAAAAAGCAATAGAAAACTTTATTTCAGTAATAGATTCCCATCAAAGTCCAGTTGTAACAAAAGAAATGGTTAGATTTGTTAATGAATTAGCCGATCTTTTCGTAACCTACTATTTATCTAAAAATAAAATCTCATCAATTAAGTTTTGGAGAAAATTAACAAATAAAAATAACCAACAAAATAATATTGATAATGATTCAATTTCAAATCAACTTTTAATGGAATTAAATATCTTAAAGCAACTTAAAGAGCAAAACAAACCAAACAATAAACAACAAGAGTCAGAACCAAAACCAGACCAAAACCAGGAATCAGAAAAAAAACTAGAGAAACAATTAGATAGTGCTATTATATCATGTCAAATCAAAGAAATCAATAACTTTTTGAAGGAAAACTATTTCAATAATAAAAGAGATGTAAACAATTTAAAATATGAACAACTTATTGAAATATTTGAATTAATCATATCCTCAAATAATAACAATAATCAACCCTCCAATTTACAGCTATATAAAACTTTATTAGAAAGTTTACACAAAAAATCAAAACTATTATTCGACAACCACAACTACAACAGTATACTTATAAAGCAGGGCTCTTTTAACATACTCTTTAAAAAAATCGATAATAATAACGAGCTTATGGAGAAGATTTTCAACATTTGGGAACAGTCCATTAAAGAATTCTTAAAAGAGTATGACATCAGTAAAGATAAAAATTTATTCAATTCAATTACAGCAACAATCGAAAAAAAATTAACAACCATTTTATTGAAAAAAGAACAAGATTCAATCGACCTTAATTCAATATTACCAAATTGGTTCGAAAATTATTTAAAGAAAACAATTGATGATGCATTTTATAGAAATCCATCACCCAGTAAAAAAGAAGAAAACAGTAGCAGGAAAATAATTACAGATATTGAAAGTTTAGTTAAAACCTCAAATATTAGAAATGATTCAAAACTAACTCAAATGTTTTTTATCGACAACATACTATCAAATCCTCACAAAGCAGACAAAGAATCTTTAAGAAAAATCAATGAATTTATTAATATGGATAGTAATAATAATGACCAATTTCGTCCATATTTAATCAAGTTATCAATATTTTTAATTCACCAAGGCAATAAACCAATCTTGACCAATAAAGAAATTGAAGACTTTTATATAATAAATAAAAATAGTGAAATGGTTGCAACATTTATTACCAAATTAGTTGAATGCTTCCTATCAAATAAAAAGAATCTAGAAGCAAGAGAGGTTTTATCTAATTTTAAACAATACATCACAAAAGATATGATAGATGAAATTAAATCTTCATTTTCAAAATCAAATCAATAAAGAAATAATTATATCAATAAAATCTAAACTAAATATAACGTTTTATTTATAGTTTTTTTTTTAAAATATATATGTACTGAAAATATTTTATTTTGTTTTATATTGGTTAATATTTATTTTTTATTTCTTTTTAACTAAATTGTTCTTGTGAATTGCAAACCTGTTATTGTTTTGCTGGTTTTGGAGATGGTATTATTTAATAAATAAATTATTTTATTTAATAAATTATTTAATATTTAATTTTTTAAAAAAATCAAAAAAAAATCAAAAAAAAAAATCAAAAAAAAAATTAATTTGAAAATTTTTAAAATAAAAAGTTTAAACAGGTGGTTTAAAATATTTATTTTTTATAAAACAATACAGAAATTAAAAGAATTTTATTATGCGAATATAGGAAAAAAAAAAAAAAAGAGAGACCACAAAACGAACAGTTATCAATATTTTTTTTTTTTCTTATTTTTCTTATTTTTCTAAATTTTCAAAAAACATTTTATTTTTATTTTTTTATTTTTATTTTTTTTTATTATTCAGTAATCATAACAATATTTTCATCAATAAACCGTAACAATAGACTTTAAAAACGATAAAGAAAAAATATAAAGAAATAAGATATATATATTTTTTTAATAATGTTTGGGGAATTTAAAAAATTGTTGGGGTTTAAAAAAAATACAATTTCTGTTGTGGATAATCCAGAAAAAAAAGAAAATGACACCAGCTATAACTTAAAGGGAAATGAAATCAATAATAAAAGCTCAGTTCATTATGGATGTAATGGATGTACTGGCGAAATTATAGGTGATGTTAATGAACGTTATTGTTGCACTGAGTGTTCAGATTTTGATATTTGCAAAGACTGTTATAACAAAGAGATAATCATCAACTATGCCATCTACGAATCTGACAAATTATCAACTTATACTGAAGAAGAAATTAAAGAAAAGGAAAGAAAGAAACAAGAGGCCTTAGTAAACTATGAACCAGTCAAACATCATGATGATGCACCACCTCATTTACATCGTTTAACTTTAGAAATGAAAACACAATTTCAATTAGTTTATGAACTTCGTGGTAAAACTTTATTTGAAACTATGAGAAACAGTTTTCAACAATTTTCAGATAGATCATGTTTAGGTTATAGGGATAAAGTCCAAGTATCTGAAAAGTATCCATTAGGTTTATCAGACTACAAATGGAAAACATACAAACAAGTTTATGAATCATCTCTACAAGTTGCAAACTCCATCTCTCACTATTTAGAACCAAATGACTTTATTTCAATTTATATGGACAACTGTCTAGAATGGTATGTCTCTGATTTTGCCTCCCTATGGTGTAATTTAGTTGTAGTTCCAATCCATCATCAATCAAGTATGAAATAATATTTAGAAAAATTCTATTGTAAAATATATATTTATTAACATTTAAAATCTTTTATAATTAATTATATAGATAATTTAAATTTATTAGAAATTTTATCAAACTCTGATACAAAATGTATTTCATTATCAAAAGATTCATTTAAGAATTTTATAGAGCTATTCGAACAAGTTGATGAAAAAACTTTAAAGGAAAAACCATTATCTGTTAAATTAATTATCCACAAAGAGGATGAATTTGATAAAGAGTTAGTTGCAAAATTACCAGAAGGAATTGTCTTTAAAACCTGGAATGAAGTGATCCAATTTGGTAAAGAAAACCCATCAAAATGGGAGCTTAAACCACCAACAGATATAGAAAATCAATTAGCAAGTGTCACATATACTAGTGGCAGCACAGGTTTACCAAAAGGTGTAATGAAAACTGACAAGACATGGAATTTATTAGTATGCGATTCATTTATTTACTATCCAAATGTAATTCTTAGCTACAATACATTATCTCACTCACAACGTTTAAGTGACTGGAGATATCTTTATCAAGGCAGCAGGGTTGGTATTTATTCAGGCTCAATGGATACTCTATTTGATGATATTTCTCAAATTCGTCCACATTCATTTTGGGCTGTACCAAGATTTTGGAATTTATTGTACTCTCAATATAAAAATGATTTAAAAGAGTACACCAAACTTAATCCAAACGAACCATTACCGTTAGCTAAGCTCCATTGCCAAAAACAAATCAAAGCATTATTGGGTAATAGAATTAAAACTTTAGTTACAGGTGGTGCTCCAACATCAAAAGAGGTTCTCACTTTCTTAAATAGTGTCTGGAAAGATATTAATATTTCAAACTCTTATGGCCTAACTGAAATTTCTGGTGTTTGTGTAGATGGATTTATTTCAGATGACATCGAATTTAGAATTGACCCAGTTCCAAGCTTCAACTACTATCCAACTGATAAACCACATCCAAGAGGTGAATTGGTCGTTAAGGGACCATATATGAGTAGTGGCTACTACAAGAATCAAGACCTTACATCACAATCATTCAGTGGTGGTTGGTTTAAGACCGGTGATATCGTCGAACTTGTTGGCTCTAGAAAAGTAAACATCATCGATAGAATTAAGCATGCCTTCAAATTAGCAAATGGTGAGTTTGTTACTCCAGAACCATTAGAAAATCAATTCCAAGGCTCAGTTTTAATTGATCAAATGTTTATTCACGGAAATTCATTAAAAACATTTTTGGTTGCTGTGGTTAAACCATCCATATTTTGTTTAAAACAATTAAATTTAATCGACAAGGAACTTGATGACCAACAAGCTGAACAAGAAATTATCACCAATATTGACCAATTAATTTCATCAACTGTTTTAAAATCAAAAATTTACGAAGAAATTAATAAAATCTCACAAGAAAAGAAATTAGCAAATTATGAAATCCCCAAAATTATATCACTCGATTTCACAAAATGGACCATTGACAATGAATTGATCACAGGTTCTGGTAAATTTAGTAGAGCAAATCTCTATAAACACTATAAAGAAACTATAGAAAAAATGTTTGATACAATCGATGTAATTCAAGATAGTTTAAGAAATAACAACTCATCCAATATTGAAAACACTGGTAGTGATCCAACATTAATCGCAGACTATTTAAAATCAGTTTTAAATATTACCGATGGAGATGCTGATTTATCTCAATTATCATTCACTCAAATCGGTGGTGATTCATTAGGTGCTGTTAAATTATCAACAATATTAAGAGAAAAAGAAGGTCTTGATATTTCTCCACAATTAATTTTAAATCAAAATTTCAATCTATCAAATCTAACAAAAATTATAGGTCAAAAACAAGATAACAATGAATCATCCAGTAGTAGAGGCGAAAATGATATTATTAACAAATTTAAGGTCAACTGGGACGATGAAATGAAGTTAGATAGCGATATAATTAATAAAATATCAATGTTAAAATCAAAGAATGGCTCATTAGAATATATTAAATCAAATTCAAATGTATTACTAACTGGTGTAACTGGTTTCTTGGGTATTTTCAGTCTTTATGAATTAATCAATTGCAACAATATTAAAAATATTTACTGTATAATGAGAAATATTAAATTTAGGGAAGATGGTATTCAAAAACTTATAGGTATATTAGAAAACTCATCAATTCAGGTAAAGAATATTAGAGAAAAGGTCATTCCAGTTTCAGGAGATTTATCAATGGAAAATTTTGGTGTTTCAGATACAGACTATGAATTACTATCAAAAACAGTCGATATTGTAATCCACAATGGTGCCGTAGTCAACATGGCTTTACCATATGCAAATATGAAAGCCACAAATGTTCAATCAACTCGTGATATCATTAGATTCTGTTTATCAAATACAACAACAGCCAAGCCACAAAACGAAAAAGACATCAATAACACCAATACAAATAAGAACAATAGCAGAAATGGTTTAGTTAAAAGATTGGTATATATTTCAACAGTAGGTGTATTGTTTGGTACAACTAACAATGGTAATTTAATTGACGAATCTATTACACCATCGACCGAATACCTCGATCAAGGCACAGGCTACAACCAATCAAAATTAATCGCTGATATCTTGGTTAGAGAAGCTGCCTCATTAGGTTTACCAGCTATGATTTTTAGACCAGGTACTATCTTTGCTCATTCCATGACTGGCTTTGAAAACCAAATCGACTTTATTGGTTTAACAATTAAAGGTATTTTAGGCTCCAAAACATACCCAATCAATTACGATGGTGGTAACTTAAATTTATCACCTGTAGACTGGGTATCGTCTTCAATTATCTCGTTGGTTAACAATGAAATAACCTGGGCCTCATTCAACAACGCTGCAGAAATCTACCACATGGTAAACAAAAACATATTACCACTCGAAAAACTTTGCAAATATTTAAATGAAAATATTAAAATCGAAAAAAAACAATTCGATGAATGGAAATCAATTCAATTTAGCTCACCATCAAACCCATTATATCCAATTTCAAATCTCTTTTCAAACTCAAATAGATTCCCAAGTGGCAATAAAATAATAAATACAAAAACAATTAAAGTTTTAGAATCAATTAACAAATCCCAATGCCCCGAAATAACTTCAAAAATGGTTAAAAACTATGTTAACTATTTAAATTTAAAAAAAATGATAAAAGAATTTAAATAAATAATTTTCATAATATTTTTACATAAAATAAAAATTTTATGTAAAAAAAGGAAATAATATTAGTTTTTTTTTATTGTATCATAAATATTAATAAATTACACCACTCTCTAAAAATTGCTAAACCTTCCTCAACAGTTGTTGCGTCACCACCATTACCATGGTCTTCATCCTACCACAATCACTATATAGCCACTGCAATATGCTCTCGCCATTCAACAACAACCACCATATAAATAAAATAAAAAATAAATATATAAAAATTATTAATAAATTTTATTATATTTAGATTATATGAGTTTTTTTTTTTTAATTTAATTCATTTTTAAACCTTTTATATTTTTTATTTATTTTTTTTATTTTTAATAACAATTTTATTTTTTATAATTAATTTTATTTTCATTTTTTGTTTATATCATATGAAATTTTATTTTTAATTTTTTTTAATTTGAAAAATAAGAAATTTTTATGAAAAAAGTGAAAATTTAAAAATAAATTTTCATCAAAAACACCACGCATTATTTGACAAAAAAGACAAAACGTGGTAATTTTTAATATTTTTTACCACCTCGAACTCGACAAATATTTAAAACTATGTGTTTAAATATTTTTATAATTTTAATATAATTTAATATTAAAATCAATAAAAAATGAAAAATATAAAATGAAAAAATTTAAATTTTATAATCATTAAAAAATTAAATAAATATAAATAAATATAAATAAATATAAATAAATATAAATCAATAAATTTAAATAAAAGCAAAAAAAAACTATACAAAAATGTTAGATTTCATAATAAATTCAATTTCATCATTATTCTCCAATATTTTTAGATTATTTGAAGGAAAAAAAGATTCAAGATTGCTTATGATAGGTTTAGACGGTGCAGGTAATATTTTTTTTTTTTTTTTTTTTTCAATTTTTAATATTTTATTAATATTAAATTTTATTTATTTTAGGTAAAACAACTATTCTTTATAAATTAAAACTTGGTGATATTGTATCCACTATACCTACCATAGGTTTCAATGTAGAAACATTAGAATATAAAAACATCAGTTGTACTATATTTGATGTTGGTGGTCAAGAAAGATTAAGAGCCCTTTGGAGACATTATTATCAAGGTACACAAGGTTTAATTTTTGTCTTAGATAGCAGCGATAGAGAAAGAATGAACGAAGTTAAGCATGAAATTGATACCCTTAGAGTGCAAGATGAATTACGTGACACTGTTTTTTTAATTTTTGCAAATAAACAAGACCAAATTAATGCAATGAGTGTTTCCGAATTAGCCTGCTATTTAGAATTGGACAAGATGAATGAAAGAAAATGGTTCATTCAACCAACCTCTGCCCTTAATGGCCAAGGTATTTACGAAGGTATGGAGGGGTTATCAAAAAATTTAAATATTTAAAACCCCTAAATTTAAATTTAAAAAAAAAAAAAAAAAAAAAAAAAAAAAAAAAAAATATTATTTGTAATTATAACTAAAACAGATAATACCAGTGTATATAATGTAAAACAATAAAATAAATATATTTTTTAAAGTTCATAAAAAAAAATATAAAAAATATAAAAAATTTATATAACAGCAATATAGTTCCTTTTTTTTTTTTTTTTTTTTCAAAAAAAAATTTATTATTTTTAAAAAAAAATTTTGAAGTTTTTTTTTCATTTTATTTATTTTAAATTTTTTTCAGTTTATCGTATTTAATTTTAAAGAACTTACAAATAATACAAAATGGCCAAAGGAAAATCAGAACAAAAAGATATTTTCACCGAAATTGTATGTTTCATTTACCTGTTCTATTAAAATTTAAAAAATAAACAATTAACTTTTAAAAACCGATACAATTAAAAAAAAAAAAAAAACGTTAAATTAATTTTATATTTATATAATATATTTTAGGATTGGAAAGAATTAACACCAGTCGGTTTCGAATTCAACACATGGTTCGATATGAAGAATCAAAACTGGACATTCCCAGATTTAAAAAAAGAACTCAAAGATGGTGTTTTATCAGAAATTAATCATCCATTATATATGTTTTTAGGTGCTCAACGTAAGTGATATTCTCCTTTACAACATACCACATTAATGTATCTTGCTTCTAATTTACATTTTGTTTTTAAAAATAAATAGCAATTGTTGGTAAAGATAAAAAAGGCAAAGATTTTAATCAAAATATGCCATACATCGTCGTTATTGATTGTGAAACCCCAATGCCATCACAAATTGCTAAGGTATCAATTCAAAACGGTGAAGCTGATATTTTAAACTTTAACGAAGCTCACCTTATGTGGACTCCATACGTTTTACCAAAATCAGCAAACAAGTAAGTAAAAGAATTTAAATTTTACCATTAAGCAATAAAATAAATACTAATTTTCATTATTTTAAATAGCGTCAAAAGCAAACAAGAATATAAAATTTTCACTTTAACATTACAAGAAAGAGCTGGTAAACAATTATCAGAAGATAAATTAAACACAATTCAATATTTATTACCATGTAAATATAAACTACGATCATAACATTATAAAAACTTAATGAAAATATGATATTAATTTTATTTATTTATTTATTAAAAAGATGCTCTTATCCCAAAGGTTTTCGAAAAAGAAAAGAAAAGAGAAGTTAATTTCGTTCAATTCAACCTTAAATGTGAACTAAGTGAAGAAGGTGCTAAAAAATTAATTGATGAAAGAAAAGAAGAAGAAAAAGCCTACAAGAAAGCTCAAGAAGAAAACAAGAGTAAAAAACCAAAAGAAAGAGTTAAATTAGAAAAATTAAAGAAACCAGAATTTAAAATTGAAAAGGATGAAAATGGTAAAGAAGTCGTCACCAAAACATTTGAAATTTACTTTGATAAATTAAATGATAAACTTAAAGACTTTATCCCAGAATTTATTGAAGACAATCAACTAAATGAAAATATGGAAGAAAAGATCGAAAATGCCATCAGAGAACATTTCAAGAAAGAAAGAGCAATCATTGATAAAAACTATGAAGCTAGAGTCAAAGAAGTCAGTGAATATTCTGAAAAAAAGAAAAATGATTTTAATAATATGAAAATTTATAAATTCTATCCAACTCATAATTTAATTGATACCCAACAATTTGTCGTATGTATAACAAAACAAATAGCAAATTCCTTAAATTATTAAAATACAAATATTAATATTTTATTTTTTATTTATTTTAGTCAAATAATATTAATAGATTCTTGGGCAGTTCTACTAAAACATTCCCAGAACCAATCGAAAAAGATCTTTCTAAATTAAAAGAAGTTGATGTTGATTCAGTTAAAAAGTTAGCTGCCAAAGAAACAAAAGAAACTGCTAAAGAATATGAAAAGAATAAAGCTAAAGCATTAGGTGAAAAAGAACAAGAAGAAAAACCAACCAAAGGTAAAAAGAAAGTTGAGGAAGAGGAAGAAGAAGAGGAAGAAGAAGAAGAAAAAGAAGAAGAAGAGGAAGAGGAAGAAGAAGAAAAAGCCAAGCCAAATGCCCCAAAACCAAAAGCTCCAGCTAAAAAACCAGCCTCCAATACAACAACCACAACCACCTCAACTACCGATAAAAAGAGAAAAGAAATTGAAACTGAAAAACCATCAAAAGCTGAAGCCAAAACAAATAAGAAGCAAAAGAAATAATTTATCAATGTCTATAGTATCGGTATGTTAATTTTTTAATTTGGGTTATCATTTTAAAAAAACTAAAAAAAAAATAATAAATTATTTTATTAAAAAAAAAAAAAAAAATTTATATTTATTATTTAAAATATTTCAAAACATAGTTGAATTAAGTTAGCTTCATAATAATTAATTTAATGTATTTGTATTTATTTATTTATTTGTATTTATCTATTGTTTTCTTTTTAATAATAACTTTTTATTATAGTAGACCAAGAAGATACCAAGGAAGATACAGACTGTATTTGTTACAAAACTAATTATATGTGAAATTTGGAAACAATGGCTACCATAACAAACACCACCTTCAGCTTGTGATGAAAGGTGATCATATATTTTACCACTAAAAGTACTGAAAATAAGAGCAGATGCTGCAGAGGAAATAGCCAACTAATAAAAGCAAAATGAAATCAAATTAATATATTTAATTAAAAATAAAGATACTACTCTTTAATAAAACAACTTACAACACCAAAATTAAAGCCAAATCTTCTTGCACCAAATCTAACAAATGCCAATGAAACCATAATGGATACCATACCACCATAACCGATACCAGTTAAAATTGTGGCTGGGTATAACATTGGATGTAAAGCAAAAGCAGTAACCAAATGAGTAACTGCGATAATGGAACTTGATAAAACTACGCACCAAAACTTTGATAATTTCTTTGATCTATATTTGATTTTAAAAAAAATAATTAATAAATTATAAAAAATATAAAATATAAAAAAAATTATTTAATATTACATTAAATCTGTAAGAAAGCCCATTCCGACACGACCAACACAATTTCCGACTGAATAAATAATAACAAGATTACTTTGAACTGAATCGGACTCGTTTAATGCTTCACCCATAACACCAATGTTATTTAAAAACATTAAACTACCACCTGCACAAAAGAAATAGATGACGAATAATACCCAAAATTCGACATTTTTAAATAATTGCAAACCTGAAATATCTCTTTTACCTAAATTTTTTTATTAATATACTTTATCTTTTTATATATTTACCTTTTAAAATAATAACTAATAGAAATAAGACTGAAAAGAGAAAGATAATCTAAAACTAAATTTAATCTTACCATCTAAATAATTTGGACTGTTTAATTCTAAAGCT